TGCCATTTTTATAATATGTCACACTGACACTGCTACGCTTGATGCATATTCAGTAGGGGATTTTTCCCCTTTTCCTTATTTGTATTTCCTCACTTTACTAATGTTGGAGTGTCTTTTTCCTATAGGTTAGTATACCAATGATCTCAACTTATCTTATACATCAATTCATTACCATGGCCCTTTTATGATTAGGTATCACATTTGTTATTTCTGTCCTAATTGGTTATTTCAGTTCTTTCCAAGTTCCAAGTTGTGGTGTACCTGTTTCCTAAGTTCATAAGTTTAAAAGGATAAGTCCTAAGTGCACGTCATTTTGTGAACATCCCTGGTTTTGGTGTTGGTTAATTACTGGTGTTTGGTATTGTAGTGGCAGTTGGCCTGCCTGCCAATGCTTTAATGTTTGTTTGTTTGTAATACAACCATGTTCACAAACAAAGGCTTCTATTTTACTGAGAAAGTTTATTTCTATCACTACATCACATTGTATAATGTATATTTCAAATAATAAAGATAAACACATGAGACACAGCTGGGAAGTTGTATCCAAACAATTTTTCAATACATTTATTTACATTAATCCATAATGAAAATCCACAATTCCTCCCACACGGTGCACCTCTCCACCCCATTTCATAAAATCATCTCATTCATAATTAAAATTCATGACAAGCAATTCCCCCATTCATTGGGTACAGTGACAGTACTCTATTGTTAACATTGCTGTAAAAACACATTCATAAACTTACTCTTCTCCCTCTTCCATTGGTTCATGCAAGTCCATAATGTGGGAGCACAGAGCATCCCTGATTTCTGTTGCATGTGTGTATTCTGTGCCAGCTGTCACAGGTATGCTGTCTGGCTGAGTGTACCAGTTCAGCATTCATGACCGTGCACCAGTTCAGCAATCACAGGGCCATTCAGGGGCGAGTGGCTTGTCTTTGGCTTCAAAAGATCATGTTCTGTGGCTTGCTGTGCTCTTCACAGACAGCACTGAGGACATCGGAATCCAAACAGGGCTGTGAACAGTGCCAGAGGGATTTCAATCTGCCAAACGCACATTCAACCACCATTCTGCACCTACTGAGTGTGCAATTAAACCCTTCCCCCCCACCCCCCAAGATCAGGATACAGTTTCATAAGCCAAGGAAGAAGAGGAAGTGTGGGGTCCCCTAGAACAGTGGGACAGTTACTCCATTGATGATAATGTCATGTAGTGGGAATAGTGTCCAAGCCTGTCCATGAATGTAGACTCCTGATCAGTGGAAAACTTTGGCATCATCAACTTTTCCAATAGATCCCACTTCAGTGGGACAGAAAATGCCACTGAAATGTTAACCAGCATCTCCTGGATCCTCTGCCTGTTTCCTGAAATAGTAGTGAAAGCCCAAGCAAGATGAGTTCTTCAAATGGTGACTCCACCAAGTTGCTGGCTTGGTTGACGGGAGCTCAGCAGGATGTATTGATGGGTTGTGACAACTTCCTGTAACACGTGGGGTGGACAGTCACGTTTTACCCCCCTCAGTGTACCCCAAAGGGCTAGAGTGGCTGCAGCTGGGGAGGGTGTTAGGAAGCCTGGGATAGGTGGATTTGACTTGGGTCTGCATAATACACTCCAGACACCTGAGCACAGGTGTGAGACCTAGGTTCAGAAAACCTAGGATTAACATTCAATATGGATGCTCAAGCCCAGGCTTATTAACACGAGCGTGTGGGCTCAAGTCCTACTGACCCTGGGCTTAGATTGCAGTACAGACATACCTAGAATTAGAACTCGTTAGCCTAGCATGGGTAGAGCATCCCACTGAAAAGCCCTACCCAAGTCAGGCCCAGGTAACTGCCCACAAAGATGCTCTGCTAGACACTATGCTGGAATATCCTTTGGTTCTCAGCAGGGTAATAAACTGGGCTGTTCTAGGAATTCATTCACAGGGTGCTTTCTCTCTCCCTCCTAGCATTGAGCTGCTGTCTGTAGCCCTGCTAGGAGAATACTTTGTGTAAAGAATGTACAAATAGAATTACTCATTATGGATGCAGACAGCTCTCAAGGTGACAAACAGCCTTTGGCCCTTAGAACTTTAATGAGAATGTCATTAAGAAATTCAAAGTGATTTGTAGCACACCCACCTAACTGACTGCTCTTGCATTTAGAGGAGCAGAAAGAAATGAAAAGGTAGATATTTCAGGTACATTTGCCCAAATTATGGGCCTTACTGATATCATACTACAGCGTTGCCAGAAAGCTGGTGTCAGCTTCTGGCTAACTGGCAGCATGGGAGGAGGATTTCTTGGATAGCATCTCTACAAATGCTGTTGAAGAGCAGGAAAATGTGCTGTTAACATGCTGAACCCGTGTAGGTGACTTGCAGTGCAGAAGAGAGAATGCAGACAGAAAAATACAGTTCTGATGGAATTGTGGGCTAGCACTGGAGGCCAAATAGCACCTGTGCTTGATTAGCCTGTGTCCTCACAGCAAAGTAGGTGGGTTGCCAGCCTGGGCTGAAGCAGAACTGGAACTCAAGGTTGTACCCTCAGCAGTGCCTGCTAGCCCAAGTTTAAAGCACCCTCCAGCCTGGGTTAGAAGTTTTTCCTGTGTGGATGGCAAGGGCAGGACTATGGTCAACACACAGGCTAGAGACCTGTCTAACTCTGCAGTGCAGACATTCACCCAGAGTCTATGGGTGAAACACCCAGCCACACCAGTTGCTGTAGGTCCCAGATGTTCATAATCTTAGGTCTCAAAGTTTTTTAAAAATGAAAAAAACATGCAAAGATAAAAATAAAAGCTGCCAATATTTGGCCATGAATTCAGGCCAACAGAGGGTGCTTTAGGAACTGGCATACATTTACTGTGAGGTGACCAAAGCAGTGTTCCCAACAGTTGCTACATAAATTATTTTTTTTAAATGAGAACATGGGCACCCCAATAGATTTTAGAAGACATCAGAATACTGGGAACCTCATTCACGTTCAACAATGACTTCAGTTGCAAGCTTCTAACAATGTTTTGGAAGTTTTGTTGTGACAAGTTTACAAAGAATCTTTTCTAGTGGCAGGGCTCAGAAGCAAATAGACTAATTAACAGTGGTTAATAAGACCACAAAATTAATTCTTTGTTTCCTGTGGTGGTTTAGTTGTCCATCTACAGCCTATTGGAATATCTGAGTCTTTAAATAGCTTAGAGTGAGCTTGGAGAGGTGCATGTTGGAGACATTTTGGAAATACAATGCTGCCAGCTACCTGAAAGTCACAGACAGCAACCAACTCACGTCAGCTTCCCTGCTGCAAATGACTTCATAGGATGACAAAGAAATTGAAAACAAAAGGGCCAAAACCTAAAGTCACTGGTGATGGTATAAATCCAGACTAGTGCTACTCACTCCCGTTTCCACAGAGGGAACAGTGATCAGAATCTGGGTGAGTCCATTTAAGGTCCTGGATAATATAGGAATTGGTAATAGGATACTGTGAGATTTACTTTTTTGATTATTTGAATCTGAACCAGGCAGCTAGTGACTGAAAGTTGATGCCATCCCATGACTGTTGGTGACCTGTGTAAAATTGGTGGTGTCAATCCAGTTCCGAAAAGACAGCTATCAGTTCAAACAAAACACCATCTCAATTCATAGTAATTAACAACCTTCAGAGCAGAGAGTTCCAGGGTTGAATGGATGCTGTTGACTTCCTCACTCCTCTCCAAAGGAGGTCACCAGTCGATTTACACTTGGCAGCTAGGAAGCTCGCCTGGCTGCTGCCTACACTGTACTCATGCTATAGACAAGGAGGATTGCAAGCTTCAGGTACTGTCAGTTTCGGCACCTTTCACAAACAACAAATTAGCATTAAAAATCCCCCCCCCCCAAGCAAAAGAGACTCCTTTCCAGCACTGAGAGCTTCAGTGGTGCTGCAGCAGAGCAGTCCTGACATCTCCACTCCACAGGGCTATCACAAATCTGAACAGACTGGCCACCTCCCATAACTCCCAAGTGACTTGTATTATATCTCAATGAGTACTAGAGCTTTGCTTAATAGTGCTTTTAATATATAATTAATATATGTAATTAATAATATTAGCAGGTGTGACTAGGTGGCTTTGTTTTTTTTCTTAGCATGAAAGCCAAGTTTTGACTGTTGGGAAGGTGTGCTATGTTGTTAGTTTGGGGTTATGCAAGATTCTGTGCAGGAGAAGGGACTTGCACAAGCAGCAAGAGAGAACTCTGACTGAAGCAGAATTGCTCCCTGAGAAACTGGGGTGGTGTTGAGATTCCCGGAAAAAGGGATTGCCTTGCATGCTGTAATGTCCATCTCATTTCAGGACTGGTGTGTGTGTGTGAATAAAACAAGTAACACTTAGAATACAACCAGGCTCCTATGGCACTGATTTCTACAGCACTGGGAAGCAAACCTGAAAGGCTTCAGAAATCAGCTGCTGCTCAGCCGTGGGGTGATACTGGTGTCGGAAGGGGCAACAAAAATGGGTGTGTAACACACACATACAGAGAAAGTAAGTTCCTGTGTATCGTTCTTCCAGCCTGTTAATAAATTTTCTTCACTACTGCCTCTCTGTGCACGTGCCTCATACTGCAACGTCTCACCAGGAAAGCGTAAAAACACTCTCTGACCCATATCTGTGTCTACTGACCTACGAGAAAGCATAACAACTCTCACAAATTGGCTTAGCAGCTATACTTGTGTACCAGCAATGAATATCTTGCTTACGAGCAGGCCCCCCTCAGGAGACAGACTGATCAGGAACTGCTTAAAGTGCACTGAATTGCAGACTCTCCCAAAACAAACCTAGAGACTTGGGAGGTAGGTCAGTTCCTGGCCCAGGAACATTATGAAGGTGTTCAAATAAGCATCCTGAGCCCTAAAATTCAGAAGTTTAATAAACCAATGAAAATACCTCCTTGAGCAATGACAGATTTGTCACTTCTGGGATCACTTCAAATCCTGAACACAGTACATGAGGTAAGAACCCACAGAAAGGGACCCCTAGCCCTGGTCTACACTAGGACTTTAGGTCGAATTTAGCAGCGTTAAATCGATTTAAACCTGCACCCGTCCACACAATGAAGCCCTTTATTTCGACTTAAAGGGCTCTTAAAATCGATTTCCTTACTCCACCCCTGACAAGTGGATTAGCGCTTAAATCGACGTTGCCGGCTCGAATTTGGGGTACTGTGGACACAATTCGATGGTATTGGCCTCCGGGAGCTATCCCAGAGTGCTCCATTATTACCGCTCTGGACAGCACTCTCAACTCAGATGCACTGGCCAGGTAGACAGGAAAAGAACCGCGAACTTTTGAATCTCATTTCCTGTTTGGCCAGCGTGGCAAGCTGCAGGTGACCATGCAGAGCTCATCAGCACAGGTGACCATGATGGAGTCCCAGAATCGCAAAAGAGCTCCAGCATGGACCGAACGGGAGGTACGGGATCTGATCGCTGTTTGGGGAGAGGAATCCGTGCTATCAGAACTCCGTTCCAGTTTTCGAAATGCCAAAACCTTTCTGAAAATCTCCCAGGGCATGAAGAACAGAGACCATAACAGGGACCCGAAGCAGTGCCGCGTGAAACTGAAGGAGCTGAGGCAAGCCTACCAGCAAACCAGAGAGGCGAACAGCCGCTCTGGGTCAGAGCCCCAAACATGCCGCTTCTATGATGAGCTGCATGCCATTTTAGGGGGTTCAGCCACCACTACCCCAGCCGTGTTGTTTGACTCCTTCAATGGAGATGGAGGCAATACGGAAGTAGGTTTTGGGGATGAAGAAGATGATGATGAGGAGGTTGTAGATAGCTCACAGCAAGCAAGCGGAGAAACCGGTTTTCCCGACAGCCAGGAACTGTTTCTCACCCTAGACCTGGAGCCAGTACCCCCCGAACCCACCCAAGGCTGCCTCCTGGACTCAGCAGGCGGAGAAGGGACCTCTGGTGAGTGTACCTTTTAAAATGCTATACATGGTTTAAAAGCAAGCATGTGAAAGGATTACTTTGCCCTGGCATTTGCGGTTCTGCCTTTGCAAAAGGTTTCTGGGGAGGGCAGCCTTATTTCGTCCTTCATGGTAGGACACTTTACCACTCCAGGCCAGTAACACGTACTCGGGAATCACTGTAGAACAAAGCATTGCAGTGTATGTTTGCTGGCATTCAACCAAAATCCGTTCACGCGGTGGGAGGAGGCAAAATGCGACCTTGTAACGAAAGCACATGTGCTATGTATGTAATGTTAACAGCAAGGTTTACCCTGAAAGAGTGTAGCGACTGTTTTATAAAATGTGTCTTTTTAAATACCGCTGTCCCTTTTTTTTTCTCCACCAGCTGCATGTGTTTCAATGATCACAGGATCTTCTCCTTCCCAGAGGCTAGTGAAGCTTAGAAAGAAAAAAAAACGCACTCGCGATGAAATGTTCTCCGAGCTCATGCTGTCCTCCCACACTGACAGAGCACAGACGAATGCGTGGAGGCAAATAATGTCAGAGTGCAGGAAAGCACAAAATGACCGGGAGGAGAGGTGGAGGGCTGAAGAGAGTAAGTGGCGGGCTGAAGAGAGTAAGTGGTGGGCTGAAGACAGGGCTGAAGCTCAAAGATGGCGGCAGCGTGATGAGAGGAGGCAGGATTCAATGCTGAGGCTGCTGCAGGGCCAAACCAGTATGCTCCAGTGTATGGTTGAGCTGCAGCAAAGGCAGCTGGAGCACAGACTGCCACTGCTGCCCCTCTGTAACCAACCGCCCTCCTCCCCAAGTTCCATAGCCTCCACACCCAGACGCCCAAGAACGCGGTGGGGGGGCCTCCGCCCAACCAGCCACTCCACCACAGAGGATTGCCCAAAAAAAAGAAGGCTGTCATTCAATAAATTTTAAAGTTGTAAACTTTTAAAGTGCTGTGCTTAAAGTGCTGTGTGGCATTTTCCTTCCCTCCTCCACCACCCCTCCTGGGATACCTTGGTAGTCATCCCCCTATTTGTGTGATGAATGAATAACGAATGCATGACTGTGAAGCAGCAATGACTTTATTGGCTCTGCAAGCAATGATTAAAGGGAGGAGGGGAGGGTGGTTAGCTTACAGGGAAGTAGAGTGAACCAAGGGGCGGGGGGGTTCATCAAGGAGAAACAAACAGAACTTTCACACCGTAGCCTGGCCAGTCATGAAACTGGTTTTCAAAGCTTCTCTGATGCGTACCGCGCCCTCCTGTGCTCTTCTAACCGCCCTGGTGTCTGGCTGCGCGTAACCAGCAGCTAGGCGATTTGCCTCAACCTCCCACCCCGCCATAAACGTCTCCCCCTTACTCTCACAGATATTGTGGAGCACACAGCAAGCAGTAATAACAGTGGGAATATTGGTTTCGCTGAGGTCTAAGCGAGTCAGTAAACTGCGCCAGCGCGCCTTTAAACGTCCAAATGCACATTCTACCACCATTCTGCACTTGCTCAGCCTGTAGTTGAACAGCTCCTGACCACTGTCCAGGCTGCCTGTGTATGGCTTCATGAGCCATGGCATTAAGGGGTAGGCTGGGTCCCCAAGGATACATATAGGCATTTCAACATCCCCAACAGTTATTTTCTGGTCTGGGAATAAAGTCCCTTCCTGCAGCTTTTGAAACAGACCAGAGTTCCTGAAGATGCGAGCATCATGCACCTTTCCCGGCCATCCCACGTTGATGTTGGTGAAACGTCCCTTGTGATCCACCAGAGCTTGCAGCACTATCGAAAAGTACCCCTTGCGGTTTATGTACTCGGCGGCTTGGTGCTCCGGTGCCAATATAGGGATATGGGTTCCGTCTATAGCCCCACCACAGTTAGGGAATCCCATTGCAGCAAAGCCATCCACTATGACCTGCACATTTCCCAGGGTCACTACCCTTGATATCAGCAGATCTTTGATTGCGTTGGCTACTTGCATCACAGCAGCCCCCACAGTAGATTTGCCCACTCCAAATTGATTCCCAACTGACCGGTAGCTGTCTGGCGTTGCAAGCTTCCACAGGGCTATCGCCACTCGCTTCTCAACTGTGAGGGCTGCTCTCATCTTGGTATTCATGCGCTTCAGGGCAGGGGAAAGCAAGTCACAAAGTTCCATGAAAGTGCCCCTACGCATGCGAAAGTTTCGCAGCCACTGGGAATCGTCCCAGACCTGCAACACTATGCGGTCCCACCAGTCTGTGCTTGTTTCCCGAGCCCAGAATCGGCGTTCCACAGCATGAACCTGCCCCATTAGCACCATGATGCATGCATTGTCAGGGCCCATGCTTTCAGAGAAATCTGTGTCCATGTCCTGATCACTCACGGGACCGCGCTGACGTCGCCTCCTCGCCCGGTATCGCGTTGCCATGTTCTGGTGCTGCATATACTGCTGAATAATGCGTGTGGTGGTTAATGTGCTCCTAATTGCCAAAGTGAGCTGAGCGGGCTCCATGCTTGCCGTGGTATGGCGTCTGCACAGGTAACTCAGGAAAAAAGGCGCGAAATGATTGTCTGCCCTTGCTTTCACGGGGGGGGGAGGGAGGGAACGGGGGGCTGACGATATGTACCCAGAACCACCCGCGACAATGTTTTAGCCCCATCAGGCATTGGGATCTCAACCCAGAATTCCAATGGGCAGCGGAGACTGTGGGAACTGTGGGATAGCTACCCACAGTGCAACGCTCCGGAAGTCGACGCTTGCCTCGGTACTGTGGAAGCGCTCCGCCGAGTTAATGCACTTAATGCACTTTAGAGCATTTTCTGTGGGGACACACACACCCGAATATATAAAACCGATTTCTAAAAAACCGACTTCTATAAATTCGACTTAATTTCGTAGTGTAGACATACCCCTAGAGCTAAAAGCCAAGTTCAGTTAGGGCTGCTCTACACTTGGTTTTTATACCACTTCAACTACATCTGTTTACATACAGATTAGTTAAAAATGGTGCAACTCCCTAGTGTGGATGCACTTAAGCTCCTTCATACCAGTATAACTATGTCTACACTATGGGGTTGTGTCACTTTACCTATATCTGTTCAGAAACCAATATAGTTAAAGCAATACAAAAATCTGTGTTTAGACCAGGCCTTACAACTAGCTTAGGCCAGGTCTACATTAGAAACTTTTGCTGGTATAATAAGATCAGTTAGGGGCATGATTCTTTATGACATTTTTATAATGACAAAAAATCCTAGTGTAGACAGTAATACTGGTAAAGTCTTTTTGCAGTTTAGCTTATTTAATTTGGGGAACTGCTACAAACTATACCAGCAAAAGCACAAAACTCCATCTCCTGATGATGTTTGCTAGTATAGCTATACCAGCAAGCCCTTTCTAGTGTAGGATAAGCTTTAGGCAGAAAGTTTTCACATGGATACATAACTGAACTACTCTCACTTCAGCTCAGCACGAAGTGACTCAGGTTTGGCCCAGCAGCCCCTGCATTCTGACAGAGGGGCCACCAGGCCAAGTTTCAGTGAGTAGTGTTGTGACCCAGCACACAAGGTCAGACTACCTCAGTTTCGGGGCCCTCTCAAAGAGGGGGCCAAGGGAAAACTGCCACTTTTGCCCCCTCTCCTACCACCCCAAGGGTCAGAACAAGGGTTTGAATCGGGAGGCAAAGTCCAAATCAAGCCAAGCCAGGCATTCACGTGCAGGAACAGTCATACAACTACCAGAAAGCCACACTGTTGCCTAGAAGCATCCTAAATCACACTTTGGGTTTATATAGGACAGGGAACCAATAACGAGCCATGAGACTGCTGTCTGTCAAACCCTTGACACAGAACTTTCCTCGTCTGTGTCCATAGCGGGTCCTGGGAAGTGTAGCACAAGCTAATACCAGCTACTGGTGAGTGGCAGACTGGAGATGCCAGCTTCCTAATAGCTCTCTAGACTGGGTTTTAAACTTGTCTGACCTTACAATGTGGCAAATAAAAGGTGTGTTCTTAATTCAGATTAGCTGACCTATGATCCCCAACAAGGATTAAAAAAGAAAGTCATGGCATGATGTTGTGATTTACTTAAGACGGGAAAACTTAACACTTTCAGACTGTGACCCAGCATTGACTTGTGATGGGCTTGTTCCCATGTGACGAAAGACTATCACGACTGGCAGCTATTACAGTCTCCCCTTCAGATCAGTCAGGCTGGCTCAGGCACTGGAGCTACTGCTTCTAAACCCAAGAGTTCATGGCTCACATCCCAGTATCAATGTTCCCTCTAATTTTTTACATCCATGTGTGGAATGAATTTTGTTATGTGCATCAATATGGAGGTGATGAGTGGCGGGGGTGGGGCCTAGGGGTTCGGAGCGTGGGAGGGAGCTCAGGGCTGGGGCAGAGGGTTGGTGTGGGGGGGTGAGGGCTCCGGCTGGGGGTGCAGGCTCTAGGGTTGGGCCGGAGATGAGGGGTTTGGGGTGGAGGCTGCACCAGGGCTGCGGCAGGGAGAGAGGACTCCCCCCAGCTCTTTCCCTGCTACAGCAGCCCTGGAGCTGGGGCCTAAGGAGAGGCGAGTTTATATTGGCCAGTTTCTATTGCTGTGGATACTAATGTGCAGGAAGGGAACTCTGAGTATTTCCAGGTGGATTATGAGGCTCTTTGCTGCAGCATGGACTTTCTAGGAATTGTAGTCCACATAGGTCAGTTTTTTACAAACTCACATAGGTATAACTGCATCGCTCGGGGTGTGGAAAATACGCATCCCTGAGTGACACAGTTATACCGACCTAACTCTTGGTGTAGACAGCGCTGCACAGAGGGAAGGCTTCTCCCACTGACATACCTACCACCTCTTGTGGAAGTGGATTAACTAAGCCGGCGGGAAAAACTCTCCCGTTGGCATAACAGCATCTTCACTGAAGCACTGCAGCTGTGCCACTACAGCCTCTGCCCTTACGGATGTGCGGCCGTAACTTGGCCCAGGGTTTATTTAACGGTAATTCCAGTTTCCTGGCCAAATTCTAACTTGGGTCACTGTATTAATAGATTCTGACTCCAGAAGGAACCATTGTGATCATCTAGCCTGACCGCCAGTATCACACAGGCCGTAGAACTTCTGCCCCTATAAATAATGCCCCCAACCAGATACAGTAGCTATCTTTACTTCCTCTTCTACACTGTACTAGTGTTGCAGTTGAACTGTTAATCTGTTAGCATTTTGCATTTAGGAGTTGATGAACCAATTTCTACATAGAATTTATTAAGTTCTTTGGGATCTTTCTGGATTAAAGACCCTATGTAAATATTAATCATTGTCCTTGTTTTAATAGGATTGACAAGAAGTTACCTAGCACTAGCTTTCCATTTCATACTCAAATCTCTAGTGCAGGTTAGAGCTCTAAGAGCCTCTAATTGCTTCCACCATATTGCTTGCCTTCCTCCACTCTGAGCTATAAATTAGATACTTCTTACCCTGACTGAACTGCAGCTGGCCTTATACCTCCATTGGTCTCCACTAACGCCACCTGTTGTGAAACTCAGCATTTATGCTCCTTTAATTCTCATCAGAGGTAACTTTATTTTGTTTTGGTTTTTAACTCTTCATTAATTTCTTACCCCTGTTCATTCCGAAAGATCATATGACTCACTTGCTCTGCCCTCAACTCCCACTCAGATCAAACTCATTTGCTTTTACCCCACTCTATCTGCGTCCCTCTGTTTCTGGCCTCTAAGCACATATAGCCACACAGAATTTTCAGGAGAGTTAGTGAAATTATTTCTGGGGGAGCCCTCCAGCCCCAGATGCAACTGACTTGGTTTAGATTACAAAGAAAGCCTCCCAGAAAGGACAGAATTTGCACTACCATCACCAGCCACCTCCTCTGCTGCAGGAGGCATGGAGCCCAGCTGTTTGTGATGCGGTCCATGAATCGTTGCCAGCATTTGCAAGTTGTTGTCAATGTAGATTCTGCAAAAACGGGGAGCTGGGGACCTCTAGAGG